AAAAAAAAAAAAAAAAAATTTTGCTTAGCAGATTCTGAGCAAAAAATTTTTCTGAGCATATACCTTGTATATAAAATCCCATTTTTTTCTATATAAATTAAAATAATTAATTATAAAGTAGAAATTACAATTCATTTTAAAACATACTTTTATACAAATTATTATCTCTTGTGAATGATTTAATGTATTTAATCGAAATATACGCAGCAATAATCATATTGCATAGTGAGAAATAAGTAAACAACAATTGAAATCGGTGTGCATGCTCGCCTGTGCTGCACATAAATCCTCGTGCGCGGCCGCGCAGCCGCGTAGCTTAGAGGGAACATTGATCCTGAGGTACCACTGTAAGTTGTAAATATGTAATTAAATTGATTATTTACTGAATAAATTCAGCAACAGAAAGAAGTTTTGGTAATATACGTGGTTTCCTCAGGAATGTAGACTGCCCCATTACATACCAGCTTATAAAAGTAAGATTAAAGTCATTTAAATTTTGTTTGGTTCAATGTCACGACTTGGTGAATTTATTGACACTTGGCAAATAATTTCATCATCAACTTTTAATCCATATAGATACACGTTTCGATCTTTCGCCCCTCTTCATTCTGTTACATAAATAGGTTGTATCTTGTGTACATCTGTCAGGAACGTTCAGCACTACGTCTTCTCACTCCCATTCTCTTCCCTGCCGACTTGACGGCCTCCCCTGCATGCCTCGCAACGTGCAACGTCTCACTGCCAGAGTGCTGTACACAGACTGAGTTGATTAGTAAAAAACAGAGTTGATTCTGTTATATTTCAATCGCGGATTTGAAATATAACAGAATCAACTCTGTTTTTTTCGAACATTGCTCAACTCATAACTGCAAAATAGATAAGAATGACGTTATAATAATATACAAAGAAAAAAAAAATTGGTACAAACGAAAATTTAAAGAACGCTAGAAATTATTACAGACAAAAATAATATTAACAAGAATCTAAGCATTGAAATTCATAAAAACTGGTTACAAGTATTAAAATAGAATGTTTATACACTCGCAGGCGATGCTGTGTACGGCACTCTGGGAGTGAGACGTTGCACGTTGCGAGTCACGCGGGAGATGCCATCAAGTCGGCAGGGAAGAGAAGGGGAGTGGAAAGACGTAGTGCGAAAGATGCCTGACAGATGTACACAAAATACAACCTATCTATGTAACAGACTGAAGAGAGGCGAAAGCCCGAAACGCGTATCTATATAGATTAAAAGTTGATGATGAAATTATCTGCCAAGTGTCAATAAATTCACCAACTCGTGACATTGAACCAAACAAAACAACAAGAAGAAGACACAATTTTGACAAATAAATAAAACAAGGTCATTTAAATTCTTCGGGATTTTTGCAGAACAGACATATTCCTACGGGTTCTATAACTATGACACAAAACTTGACTTGAAATAGCCCTTATACGTTTTTGGTGTCACGACGATGTATCATTTAAAAACGAAATGTGAACCTAACCAAAAATTCTCTAACAACTTTATTACCAACATATCCTGAAATATCTTGTTTAGTTTCCTAGTTTAAATAAACTACATTACAACCTGCTGTGATAGATAATATAAAATTACATTGTCAATACTTCTCTGATTTAAGCTCCCAATCGTAAAATACATCGAAGCATTTCTGAACAAGGGCAGGCGTAGTAATAGTAAAAACTGGAGAAGTTTTAGTTAATTGATTAGTAAGTTTTTTCTCCTCTCTCTGTCTCACTCAAGTTCTCTTTGCTTCACTCTCTTTTTTTTTCTTTCACGCGCTCTTTCTCCTTATGTAATTCAATTTATTTTCTGTGTTTCTCTTTCTCCCTTCTCCCTCACTCTCTGCCGTTTTCTTTTCTGCAGTTTTCACTTCTTTAATTGTCAAGGAATGGCTTAAAATATTTTAAAACTACGAAATTAAGTTCTAATAACCAAAATTCAGAATCCACTATTGGTTCTAGCATACAGAAAGAAAACATTTCAAATCTTGTTAAATATCTGCAAATAATTCAGTTGTTTTGAAGTTAAGACACCACTTAAATATTTTTTATTACTTTTTCTTTATAATTTCTAATCTTGATTGTGACGAATGCAGAATTAAATTAAAAAATCGTTTCTTCTCTTTCCCAGTGCATAAATAAATGGGATAAATTAAAATGAGGATATATCAAATACACCAGCAAAATGAATTCCCTCAGTCTAATATTTTTAAATAATNTCTCTTCCCCAGTGCATAAATAAATGGGATAAATTAAAATGAGGATATATCAAATACACCAGCAAAAAGAATTCCCTCAGTCTAATATTTTTAAATAATAAAATTTACTTTTCTATTAACAGTTATATGCAGAAATAACCAACATTTGTCCTAATATTGTCTAAAAATTTTATATATCTGTTCATAATCTGTTACCAAATATCGTGTATATTTGTAAAATATTTTATTTACAATCGTTAGTCTTACATTTCTTAATTGTTCAATTTCAACAATGAAAAACCAATAACGAGTTGTTCAACTTTCCCGGCATTTTTAAAATTTCAGCGGCGCCATCTGTTATCGTATTTTATTTAATAATCTTTTTATATTCTTAACTGTTATAGAATGGCAAAAAGCTTAATTTTAAAGGTAGGAATGAGTTTTATAAAAAAAATTGTAAGTGTTAATAACGTGTAAAATCGCCATTAAGGCCCCCGTTTCTCCTTACCCTTCGACTTTTAACCACCAAAATTTAACAGTATCAATCCCCCTCATGAGTAAACCTCCCTGCAGAATTTCAGAAAGTTTCGACAAAAAGCACAGGAGTTATTAAGCTTTCAAACAGGGTGAATATAATCGTGCCACATACACACACTAAAACATCCATACATATAGAAATTACCTCCGAATTTTTTTGCATTTCTCAACCTTTCAAGGCATCAAAGTCCGAAAATTTAAACATCTGGGGGGTCATTTTTTGCCTCATCGCCATATATTCCCTCTGTTATAATAGGCGGAAAAGTAAAAAAAAAAAAAAAAAAAAAAAAAAAAAAAAAAAAAAAAAAAAAAAAAAAAAAAAAAAAAAAAAAAAAAAAAAAAAAAAAAAAAAAAAAAAAAAAAAAAAAAAAAAAAAAAAAAAAAAAAAAAAAAAAAAAAAAAAAAAAAAAAAAAAAAAAAAAAAAAAAAAAAAAAAAAAAAAAAAAAAAAAAAAAAAAAAAAAAAAAAAAAAAAAAAAAAAAAAAAAAAAAAAAAAAAAAAAAAAAAAAAAAAAAAAAAAAAAAAAAAAAAAAAAAAAAAAAAAAAAAAAAAAAAAAAAAAAAAAAAAAAAAAAAAAAAAAAAAAAAAAAAAAAAAAAAAAAAAAAAAAAAAAAAAAAAAAAAAAAAAAAAAAAAAAAAAAAAAAAAAAAAAAAAAAAAAAAAAAAAAAAAAAAAAAAAAAAAAAAAAAAAAAAAAAAAAAAAAAAAAAAAAAAAAAAAAAAAAAAAAAAAAAAAAAAAAAAAAAAAAAAAAAAAAAAAAAAAAAAAAAAAAAAAAAAAAAAAAAAAAAAAAAAAAAAAAAAAAAAAAAAAAAAAAAAAAAAAAAAAAAAAAAAAAAAAAAAAAAAAAAAAAAAAAAAAAAAAAAAAAAAAAAAAAAAAAAAAAAAAAAAAAAAAAAAAAAAAAAAAAAAAAAAAAAAAAAAAAAAAAAAAAAAAAAAAAAAAAAAAAAAAAAAAAAAAAAAAAAAAAAAAAAAAAAAAAAAAAAAAAAAAAAAAAAAAAAAAAAAAAAAAAAAAAAAAAAAAAAAAAAAAAAAAAAAAAAAAAAAAAAAAAAAAAAAAAAAAAAAAAAAAAAAAAAAAAAAAAAAAAAAAAAAAAAAAAAAAAAAAAAAAAAAAAAAAAAAAAAAAAAAAAAAAAAAAAAAAAAAAAAAAAAAAAAAAAAAAAAAAAAAAAAAAAAAAAAAAAAAAAAAAAAAAAAAAAAAAAAAAAAAAAAAAAAAAAAAAAAAAAAAAAAAAAAAAAAAAAAAAAAAAAAAAAAAAAAAAAAAAAAAAAAAAAAAAAAAAAAAAAAAAAAAAAAAAAAAAAAAAAAAAAAAAAAAAAAAAAAAAAAAAAAAAAAAAAAAAAAAAAAAAAAAAAAAAAAAAAAAAAAAAAAAAAAAAAAAAAAAAAAAAAAAAAAAAAAAAAAAAAAAAAAAAAAAAAAAAAAAAAAAAAAAAAAAAAAAAAAAAAAAAAAAAAAAAAAAAAAAAAAAAAAAAAAAAAAAAAAAAAAAAAAAAAAAAAAAAAAAAAAAAAAAAAAAAAAAAAAAAAAAAAAAAAAAAAAAAAAAAAAAAAAAAAAAAAAAAAAAAAAAAAAAAAAAAAAAAAAAAAAAAAAAAAAAAAAAAAAAAAAAAAAAAAAAAAAAAAAAAAAAAAAAAAAAAAAAAAAAAAAAAAAAAAAAAAAAAAAAAAAAAAAAAAAAAAAAAAAAAAAAAAAAAAAAAAAAAAAAAAAAANTGTGTATTTTATGCTTATTAAATGGCACGCGCACTCAAAATAGTCTAACACCCTTGGTATAGCATATAAATAATTTATTAATTTTTAAATATTTTTACTTTATAAATTACTTTCGAAAGATATCGTTTAATAAAATCATTTAAAAAAATATCTTACTTTATGGAAGTGAAGTTTCCTGCCGTACCCAATTTCTGTGTTAACATTTCATACAATTAATAAACATGGCGTACGAAACCTGTTAATCCACTCAAATAGAGATAGAGTGCTTCACCTATCAGTAAATTGGAACAATACGAAGTGTTTTAAATAATAACAGCTACTCAATAACCTGTAACATCAGTCCGAAAATGTAATGATTACAAAGGTATAACTATAATCCTTCCTATTAAACCAGCAGTTGTAGTAACTGCAGGCAAACACTACACAGAGACATTAAAGGAAGTAGTTTTACGTAATTCTAAAAGGAAAACTGTTGAATTGTTTTTACCGTTAACTGCTGCCATCTTTTGACAATGTTTTGTATTTAATATATTAAATCGTTTCATATTTTAATCGTCAACTCTTTATTTATTATGTATGATTCGTGCAAAGTATTAGAGTTTTAATTATATTATTAAACTCAGATTTAGTTACTTTTATTAAATAGGATTTATTTCATAAGATAGAGTCAACTGGGTTACATTCGAGAGAGTTTTTTCTTATATACGATGATTTTAAAGTTTTCCTGTGTGAAATAAATCAAAACGTTCAGGAAACTTTGTTTTGAAACTAAGATTTAATACATAATAATAACATCAATTTGCATTAAAGTAATTTCTGGAGTAATGGCGATAAAGCTTATCGCTTTAAAGATAAGAATATGACTAAACACTCTCCTCTATTATCAATAGCTACGTCACGTACAAAGTGTATGATAACAAAGAAACAAAACGGAACTTTCAGCGTGTATGGCAGCTCCTCTGCAGAAAGTATTGCGATTTCCATAGCGATATTTTCACGTTCCAAGTATATATACTGCAAACTTAACGGTTTCACACCAAAGAAAACACAATTAGTGTAATATTCATTGCATGTCAGTACAAATAAAAAAGTAGGCCTACTTATAAGTGTTCTATGTGAAATAATGAAATCAAAATTGGCAGTGCCCAAAACACTCGAGTTCAACACTGCTACAAATTTGGCTGTTAATGAGATCTTCTCACACTATAATCGAAAAGGTGTATCAGATAACAGCTCTTTATCCTTTTCACTAATTCCAAAAAAATAAAGAAGTTTTAATGCTGTCACCTTTTTCATTGTAGTGTGATAAGTCTTCATATTTAATCGAAGTGTCGGTAAAATATAAATATAATTTTCTGAATTGATACAACGTCAATAGCTCTTGGAAATGAGAGAAATTCGAAGGAAAACAATACACATCTGAATGAGAACAAAACTCTTTCCAGTTCCTTTTCAGTTCGATTTATATGTGAACTTGGAGTATGAATTCGGGAATAAACATCTTATTTTCTAGAGCTTTTAAGAATCTTTTAGGAAACAAATCGTATTTATAAAATCCCAATAAGAATAAAAATTCTACAGTGTAAGTTATACATGAAAATGAGAGATAACCGTTATATGCTGACAAAACAGAAAGAAATTCATTAAATGTCCGATCTACAAAACTGTATATCATTTTATTATCATATTCAAAAAAAGGAATCGACAGTAAGAATGTCCAGTCCCATAATAAAATTATATTCATCTTCATTTGGAAAATAATTTCTCAAGCGTCCTGAGGTGATAAAGTATTTTTCCCTTCCCAATTTCAGTAACAAATTTTCTCCCACAAAATATTTTCCTCTTTCAAATTTGTCTTCTTGATTTGTTTTTCTAACGTAACGTTCGGTTATGAGAGAGAATATTCGGACGTATAAATTAGTTATTGTTTCAATATTCTACACTTCTATTATTTAATTGTCTTAAAATGACAATAAAAGTTAACTGAAAGTGTTGGAGATAATTCGCGGATGCCCAGTCGTAAACAATTTTCCTGCATAGCGTGGTTTTACCATAACAGGGATCTCCTCAGCAACGGGGCAAGACCTAAATTTGATGTGAGCAAGGTACATTTCGCGAGGCGCTCTGGTGGCGCAAGAAGACGGATTTTATAAAATAAAAAGCAGTTAAAACTGTCAAACTTTTATTCCTAAAAATGCAAACTATATTTTATAACTAACATTAAAGAAAAATTAAAAAAAAAAGTTAAAGAAACAGAAATTTCCTGCTTTTAGCCTTACTGAACTTCTTAAATAATTGTATCGTAATTTAGCTTAGATGCTATATATGCTTCAATAGATAAAACTGCCAAAGCTGAAAGTCTTTCCTGACCCATTGTATTTCTTATATAATTTTTTATTAGTTTTAATTTTGAAAAGCTTCTTTCAGCNAAAAAGTAGGCCTACTTATAAGTGTTCTATGTGAAATAATGAAATCAAAATTGGCAGTGCCCAAAACACTCGAGTTCAACACTGCTACAAATTTGGCTGTTAATGAGATCTTCTCACACTATAATCGAAAAGGTGTATCAGATAACAGCTCCTTATCCTTTTCACTAATTCCAAAAGAATAAAGAAGTTCTAATGCGGTCACCTTTTTCATTGTAGTGTGATAAGTCTTCATTAATAGCCATATTATACTTTGGATATTGAATCTATTTCGCTGTTTAACAATCCGTTCTATTTATGAGGGAAACAATAATTACATTCACTGTATATTTTGTTATTATAAAAAACATAGTGCATTATTTGATTAAAATACAACTACATACAAGTAGTAATAGCATTTACTTTGCCATTAATCTTAGCTATAATCTCGCAAAAATGTTTTATCACACGACTCACATAGTTTTAAATTTTTTAGCCTTTATGTTTATTACATTAGACTTCGTCACTGAAAAATAAATGCAGTTTTATAAGTAAAGTTTAAACTATTGTATAATTTTAAAAATCACACATATACAGTATTTTATGCTCGTCTACATCATTACACATTTTGAATTCTGTTTACTGCTTGAGTTAAATTTGATACGATGGCGTAAAACTTCGTACTGCTCTGATGAAAGAATGTAACTGCCAGTAACTTCTGAATCGTCTCCAGTTTCCAATGCAACCAATTTTACTTCTTTACTTACTTTTAATAATTTCCACACGTCGTCAGATAAATTCAAATTGAAATTTACATGGTTGAACATTTTGTATGAATCAGAATTTCTCTATTTTTATGAAGACAACACAATATTTGAAGCATTGAAGGACATTCTGCTATTTCTCTATAAAAGTGGTTTTGTGTCAGTGAGGAAAAGAGTTTGTTGGCTTTACTCTCGTCTTCTGTAAACATTAATTGAACATATTTTTCTTGAAATTCTGGAGAAAACCCCTTTATTGAAATCCTCATCTTAATGTCCTCTCTGATGTCTTCCGCTGCTTGAGGTCGACTCATAACCACAATCGTCATTCTACTAGAAATATCGAAAGATTCTTTCATTACAAATTTTAGAATTTTACTTTTTTCTACAATCTCATCGAACCCATCCAAAATAACAAAAATTTTTATTTCTTTATCTCGAAATTTTCAATCGTTTTTCATTGATGAGTGTCCATGCGGTTCATTCAGTGAGGCGCTCTGGTGGCGCAAGAAGACGGATTTTATAAAATAAAAAGCAGTTAAAACTGTCAAACTTTTATTCCTAAAAATGCAAACTATATTCTATAACTAACATTAAAGACAAATTAAAAAAAAAAAAAAAAAAACAGAAATCATTTGTTTACACAGAGCAAT